CTTGTAGGTTAAAGGTCACCTTGAGAGAGGGTGAGGGCTGAGGTTGGGGGATTGATTTTGTGGGGGTGAAGAAGAACAATAAGCAAGACATGTGACTCGAGGTGAAGCCTCTTCTCTCTTTTGTGTGCCACATAGAGATGAGCATCTGCAGCAGAGAGCTTGAACAGAGCTGCATGCGAACGATGCCACAACACAGTGTTATTCTCTGTGTGTGACCTTTACAGCATTAAATAACCTTCATTCATTGCTTCTTTCTGAAGCTTACTGAGTCTGGACAAGATGATCTGTCCCATCAAATTCCATCATTCATTGCTCTGATTTGTGCAGCTCTACAGAAACCTTTGTTGTTCCACAGTGGACCAAGCAGCACACAACTGCATCACTTACACTGGCAGTTGTGTTTATGCCTCAAAGGTTGCTTTAAACAGATGAGTAAGTGCAGCGCAGACATATAAAGCACCAGTAACTGGTTTTCAGGACTGCCAGGAGCTGCTGCAGTGTCTGAAAATTTATCAAAATGATTAAACATAGATGCTTTGTACAGACCACTATGTTTGTTTTTGTATTTGTAAGACTTAACTATGTGTTTTTTTAGGTTTCTTATTGTTTTCCAAAGGTAACAGAAAGGTTTAGCGATATGATTATATAATTTCCCCCCAAAATAGAAAATAAACTGTGAATCTCTGAAATTTGTTTAGAAGTTATTTGTGCCATGTAACAACTTCAAAACAGTGTCAGATGTTTTTCTTGTTCAAAATTACAAAAGATGACACTCAGTGGTCATGAATGAAAGTCTTTAGCTGTGTGACTGACTGGAGAGGAAACAGGGAGATAACATTTAAAGAGGAAGACCAGCTGATCCCAAACCTTCTGTCTGTGGCTTCTATACTCCAGACACGCCCAGACACAAATCTAGTCATCTGCCAAAGGACACCACACTGTGCCAAATTACACATTGTCACCAAATTCCATACATATGGGTGTAATGTGGAGGCTGATGACTCATCTGTTGGTTTCATGGTCCATTTTTGGTCTGGTTTAAAATGGCCTGCAGGGAATGATTTAACAGATTCTTTATTAATATTTCCATGTTCACTTCTGAACATATTGCTGCAGTCGCCAGAGAACCCATGTCTTTCACATTAGTACTGTCGCAAATTTCAGCCACCCATCTGCACCATGGACAAAAATAGTGGGCTGCATCTCTTCATTTTTCAGTTCAGACTTAAGGCAGGCTGCATGGTTAGGTGAAGTCTGTCAAAAACAAGCTCTTCTAATAAATGTTAGCTTGTAAAAAAAACAAACTCATGCATTAGACGTGTATGTTACTTAATTACTCCCAGGAGAAAGCAATATAAAATAATATAAAATGGTACCCATCCATTGTAAAATAATATCCATGCTGTAGACTGTAACCTCCTCCTCTGGCACACATTGAAATCAGTTGATTGTAGCAGAAGAGGGATTGATTCCTTTCCCTATCACCAAGGTTATTATCGTTAACGAAAACTAGAAGTGAAAAAACATTTTCATTAACGGAAATAAAAATAAAAACAAGACTTTGCAAAAAAAGGAAAACTAACTAAAACTGTAATGAGTGTTCACAAAACTAACTAAAATTAACTGAATTTATAGCAAAAATGTGTTTAGTTTTCAATAGCGTCGGGTGAAAGTGAAGCGTAGTTTCCAGGTTTTTTCTTGCTGTATCTCATTGTGCCAGCAGGGGGCAGTACGTTAGTCGAGTCGTCTGTGTCGCTGCTCCGTCCCACGCAGAATCACGTCAGCAAAAGTCGGGAGAAATCGCCAGAGTCCAATTTCATATTACTCTGAATATGATTGCGTTTTAGAGAAGCAAGTGTCTTGTAGTGGAAAGAGACAAATTATGCGGAACATTTCTAAAGGGAACCTTTGAAAAGCTCACACAAGAAGGCTAACCCAGCTTAGCTTGAGCAGGTAAGGGAGCACGCCCAAGCCTCATCCCCAGAAACAGAAGCTAACCCCGGGCAGCGTGAAGCATCCCGAGACAACTCCACAAAAACCATTAATGCAGTGCTTCCAACAGCGAGCCGATGGCTGCTGGTTGGTCCGTTCGCAGGAACATCACAAGCGAGAGGAAGCGTTGGTGAATATGTTTATTGAGACTGGGATATCTGCACAACTGTGTGAGTCAATTGCCTTCAAAAAGTTTAGCAATTCACCCGGAGCTGCAAGAGTTAATAGTCTCATTGGGGCCAAGACATATATATCTTATAGTTGCCTGCTATCAATGGTTGTTCATCTGCCCTCATTTATTTATTTATTCCCATAGGTGGGGATGTGAGTTGTCTGTCTCTGCGTGTTAGCCCTGCGACAGACTGGCGACCTGTCCAGGGTGCAGGGTATGGTAGCCGGAAGAGCAACATACCCAAGGATAAGCAGAAGAGCATGACTGATATGATGAAACTGGGATGTTGTTACACTTAATTATTGCAAACACAACGAAAACTATAACTGAAACTAAGGGATTAAAAAAAATAAAAACTAGACTAAACTAGCAAACAAAAGGTAAAAACTAATAAAACCTGATACAAAATTGAAAATCTGAAGTCAAAACTAAATAAAAATAAAAACCAATGAAAACTGCAAAACTATTAAAACCCTGCCTATAAGTGACCAGGACATTTGTTCATACAGAATTTGACACTCAAAATAACTCTTTTCCTGAGATCTCAGCAGGCGGCTTTATTCATTGTGGGAAAGGATCAGGACTGCCAAGAGTTTTGATACTTCCTAATCTGACAACATGGAATAAATGTAAAAATAACAAAATGATGAAGTGAGAATTTATTAATATCATACAAGAACCCGATTAGGCAGTAACACCCCAGCATGCACAAAAACACTGACTGTTTTTTTCTACACTGCTGCCATTGTTCTGTCAGGGTGACAAGAGCTGCACCCAAGTGCCAAGCACAGACACACTTAGGCCAAGAAGAGAGACGCCACACAAACATGTCTATACCGTATCTAGGTTAACTTTGTCTGGCCAATCTGCTCTGGTTTCTCTGCCCTTAATCTCATCCACTGCTTTAACACAGTGGGAGGTACAGCACATAATACAAAAGGATTTCCATTCCTTTGCACATGGTGTGAACAATGAAGCTTGTAAACAACAGCTATGACAGGAATAAATAAATGATCTTTGGTGAGAACGTATAGTGAGTGTGACCTAATTGTGTGTTATCTTGTTGTGTTTTTATACTGGAGTAAACCGCTGCCCGAAGATTGAAGGGGAAAGGAAACAAAGTCTCAGTTTGAAGGGAATAATTTTTTAAAGTGCACACAATCACGTCTAGTGTTATCTTGTGAAGTCAGACCTGGTTAAAATTATTTTATATCCTATACTGTTTTAAAAAACGGATAATGTTCACAACAAAATCAGTATTCTAAATTATTATAAATAGAGGCCAGTCTGAGAGCAAAATTACCTGAGCAGGTCAGGAGCAACAAAAGAAGCTTTTCCATTAAAGAGACGACGATTTCGATGCATAAATCCAACTAATCAGAAAGTAAAATGAGGGTAATCGTTAAATGAAAGTAGTCCAAGTGTGAAGTAGCATAAAACCAGCTCTAAAAGAAAAACCATTAAGCAATACTGGTGTCTCACTTCTACTAAGGAGGAAACTCACCAAACAAAAGAAAAAGTAAACAAAACAGGTGAAAGCACATGTACCATCAACCTGCTACCATCATTTTCCACATAAAAATGAAAAGAAACTTTACAGCAATAGATGTTACACAGATGCTGGTATAAAGAAAAAAGGAATCATTTATTGTGAATGTTTTTCCTGGTGTCCCGAATACACATCTGGGAATCTTAACCAATTAGGGGACGCAAACATTGCAGAACATTTTTTAAAAGATTTTTTCGGAAATATTTTTATTTCAACCCCACGGATGATTACTACGCTGCACATGCTATTCTTCATAAACAAATGATTGCAGATCATATTTTAGACTTCATCAAAAGCCATAGTTGATCTCATGCAGGCTGAGCTTTACTGCCGGGTTATGTTCATTGATCAGTCCCTGGTGGTACAGCGGTTGCAGAATCCCAGTGAAACCAGGACATTGATCCAGAGAAAGAGAGATTAGACAGTAGAGAAAGAGAACATTCATCTCCAGCTGCCCCTAAAGGGCACCTTTGTCTCAATGGGTCAACACAGTTCCACCCCCAATTTCTGCTTTCATCACTCCTCCTCTATCCTCCTCCCCTCTTTCTCCCTTGTGTCCTTCTGGCCATGTGCTGCTCTCACAGAGTGAATGAACCTTGGATGGTGAGAGGCACCACCCTAAACAGCAGCAGTGAGGATCCTTGTATTGTGTTTAGACTGTAAAGCTGCTGTAGTCACAAGTCATCAGCAGATACCAAAAACACCTGCATCAATTTGTGTTTGTGTCGCTTCCTTCGCAGCTAGCTTCCATTTTTCCCCACTCAGAAACATAGTAACATATGCAGCTTTGCTACACACACAATTTCTTATCAATTGCACACATCTCAAAATGTGATAAATGAGTCCAATAGCAGCATAAGGCAATCAAAGTGTTCCAGCTGTCTCTGTCTGGGGGAGTGCTCTGCCAAAAAGACTGGAGCACAATGCACATCTCCACCCCCCAAACGGGGGCAAAACCCCCATTCACTTCAGGGACTGCAGCAAATATGTTATCAAACTCTAGTGTAGCAAGATGGCTCCAGTGCATTAACCACAAAAAGACCATGAGAAAATAAACTTTTGGTTTTAAAAAAAAATATTAATTTATGAGATATATTGATCCAATCATAAAAAGTGAAAGAAACAAAAAAGAGCATGTTCACCCTTTTCATTTCCCCTTATGTACTGTGTTATGTACACAAACATTTGCATATGAATATTTCAGCGAGAGTGTAAGGTTAGAACATCCATCCAGTCACTCAGTGTCTCAGGGACCAGGACTGAACGAGCAGCGAGGATGGACTGTACCTGTTCGCCAGATGTACATGGGTCGAGTTTCCACTGCAGTTTGTGCATCCAGTTCCCACATGGATAAAAACAGCAGCGCTAACGTCCAGAGAGAGAGGAGTGGGGCTCCTTTCAAGACCTCTTGGATCCTGATACCTCTGCCGGCCGTCCCCATGGCCACCGCACGGCAAATACTGCTGTTCCCAATGCAATCGAGAGGAAAATGTGAGCCTGGCCACAAGGTAGAGAGCGGCACTCAAGTGAATTTTCTGCTTTGTCCACGCCACCGCATCCAAGAAGTAATCCTGAGCAAGCGAGGGTGAGGTTTCCTCACGCTCTCCTCTCCCTCTGTGTTTCTCTTATTCCCCTGGCTACTTAATGAGTGCGAATGAGCTCTTGCAGTAATAAAACAGGGAACAATAGATCCCTAAGCCCAGCCTGCTCCTGCTGCTGTATGCCGGGTAATGTAGCGCCTCCCTTTCTCTCGGCTCTTTCTCTGCCTGTCTCATTCTCTCTTACACACACAAGCAGTTTATGCACACATTTACACACACATCCTGTCCACCCGCCCTGCTCACTCATCTCTCATGCTGTTTTACAAAGACCTGAGAGAAGTTCTAGGTAGCTGAATCAAGAATGTGGAGATGTGTTTGTTGGTGAAATAAACAAGTAAGCAGCAGCAGTTTTCCTATTAAAGCATTATTGTATTTTAACTTTTTATTACAATAAAAATGACCATGGATGGATGGATGTGTCAAAAGAAGGGTATGTAAATGGTAAATGGCCTGTATTTGTATAGCGCTTTTACTAGTCTCGCCTAGGGACCCCAAAGCGCTTTACACACCCAGTCATCCACCCATTCACACACACATTCACACACTGGTGGAGGCAGCTACAGTTGTAGCCACAGCTGCCCTGGGGCAGACTGACAGGTATGTAAATAATATTGTTATATACACCAGTCAGCCAAAATATTCAAACCACCTGTCCAGTTTTGGTCAAATTCCCCACTAACTGGCAAACCAGCTCATAACTCTTGAAGCATTGCAGATTTCCAGGTGGGCTTGTCCTGGCACATCTAGTGGGTTGGGATCTGGGAAATCTGAATGGCAAGTTAGTGTGTTGAGCAATTCCAGTGCTGTGGTGCAGGATAGGGATATATAAGCTCCAGGATGGCTGATCATCAGAGTACTTTTTATGACTTCTATTCAGCTTTGATAACTGACATGCAGCTTCTGCAGTGATATGGATTTTGTTTGCACAGGTGCCTTGCTCTGTTTGGAGGATCAACGTTTCCATGGTGTTGGACGTTCTTCACCAGAAACCAAAAGTATCAAGACTGAGGTCATTTCAGACTGAAACTCGAGGTGTAATATCGACTGATGGTTAGTATTTAATCTGCTTCTTTTGTTGAGTTGATACTAAAAACTAAAACGAATGAGGAACAATCTGTAATTTCATCCCTGATTTTCTACTTTTTGATTAAATATAGCAAATATTAATAATGAACATCTTGCACCAGCTTATTTTACAGGTAAATAGGTGTTGAAAGAAAGGTTAAGGACACATACGCACATTTTAAAAAACTAAAGTAAAGGAAAAAAGGGCCCACCCTGCTGTAGGCCCATCACCAACAGAACTTTAGAGATTGGGGACAGTGTTTGCAGGAGCCAAGCACACACCAAGGAGGACTGATCATATTTGCTTAATCCAGCATGAAAAATAAATGGCATGTTAAAAGGATTCCACATGCTTCTTTTGTAACATATATGTATAAGTATATGAATTTAAAATTTCACAGCAATCATTATATATGCAATCTGGACTATAATGTGTTTTTATGCAAATTAGAGATGGCTGAGCAGGAAACGTTCTAAGAAATGTCTGATTTAGCTGAAAAGAATCTGCTGTGAGCTGCTGTACGCACAACGACACAACTACAAAGAATGTTTCAGCATTGTTTGTTTCCAGGACTGAAGAAGTAATTTGTACAGATGATTGATTAGCTGCCTTCTATGATCATTTAAGTTAAGAAGCTCAGCAAACTGTTTCTAGTTTTCACAATACCTGCTTAATAACAGTTTACAAGCTCATATTGATGAAAAAGAGCACTTTGTTTTTCTGTTGTAAAAATCTGATCTGAGCCTGAAGTTTACTGAATTTGCATAAATAAGGGAGGTGAAGGACAGTTCCTTGAACAATTAGCATTTTCCTTTTGGGAATTCCCAAAACAACATTAACAATGTTAATTTGGGACTTAACATTCCCAAAAGGGAATGTTAATTTTTGCCTGTTTCATTAGCATTCCCACATGTCTGATCCAACAGTTATATACAAAGATGCTACAGGAAGATTATTCAGAAATATTGAGTGCCCTCACTGGACCTGTGGTGCTGACAGGTTTCTCCTACCAAGGAGAAAGCAGATGCTATGAAGCACACCACAGTATAAATTTCCTTTAATTTAGATTTACCGTAGTATAGATCGATTTTTTGTCTTAGAAGTGGATCAACACTTTGTTCCACCAACTCAACAAACCTCCTCCAGGCTGAACCATAAGTGGGATTTGGTCTTCAAGCCTAATGTCATAAAAGAGGCTAAGTGGCTTACTTCAACACCATAGTTGCATCATTTGATGTAGCAGAAAGTCCAGGAGTCCCGGCTGTCTGTGTCGACAGCAGAGACACAGAAAAAAGGGGGAAGGGGACTCCAACCTAAGCCAAAGGCTATCCCCTACAAATTGGCATTCCCGGTTCTTTTGCTTGCCAACACACAGTCACATAATAACAAAACAGATGAGCTTCAATTGCACATTATTTAGCGCAGTTTGAAGCACTGTGTCATCAGAACAGCCCATATTCTGCCGACTTCAGAGCAGATAGTACTAATCAGTTTGGTAACTGCAGCTAGGTTAGCTATGAACAAGCTACGTCACTTAGGTACCTAGTATATATCAGCTGATCGTGACAGCATTGTTATAACAACAAGAGAGTTTAATCATGCAAACCTGTTTCATGCAAAAAGTTTTCTGACAAAAGAAAAGAACATTTTTGATCAGAAACGAGTAAACTAAGGGATTACTATTGCAAAAAAGGTAATTAGATTACTGTTACTTTCCCGTAAGTACGCTGCGTTACTGCGTTACTAAACCGTGATTTCGTTTGCGAGAGTGTCTCATGACAGTGACATAAGCTAGTGCGACGTTCGTGGTATCAGCTGTGTGCAGATCAACAATGGATCATATATGGAGTGCAGGAGAGAGTATGAGCGTGCAGCGTTTAACGCGTGGAAGCACTGACCTGACTTTCAGTTTGATTCCATAAAAAGTGACAAAAACATTAGCGTCCACTGTTCACTGCGTGGGAAGAAAACTTCTTTTTACATTGGGAATGTGAAGTTCACAGAGAAACTCCCGGATTCTTCCACTGACATGACGGCTACGACACACCTGCACCAGGGCAAACCTCCACCTGCTCCACTCCTGCTATACAGGTGAAAATAGAGCAACAGGACCGCTGAGTCTTTGACTTTATTTATTTTCTGCTGTGTTTTACTTGCATCTATTTGAAAGAGCAAGTGTAAACACAAAAAGCTATTTTATTTTATGTGCTGGAATGTGCAGAAAATTACGGAGCCCCCCAAAAAGTAATCCTGTTACTTTACTGATTACTTATTTTTAAAAGTAGTTAGTTACTTAGTTACCTTTTAAAAAAACTTGTTTTATTAGTTTTAATCTTTTAACTTCATGCATCAAGCAAAAATTTAAATTATATGCAACATTCTCTGACTGGAAGAAATAGTTTAACATTTAAACCTATTTTCTACGGAGCCCCGCAGGGGACATGGGAGAAAAAAAAATTAAGACGGACTTTTGCGAGATCTCGCAAAACATAACTCGGGATCTCGCAAAACTTTACTGCGAACCGCAAACTTAGCGATTCTTCGAGACACTACTACAGCCGGGAGGAACACCGCTTTCCCGGCACATTGTGCCTCGACCTCCCGGTCGGCTCGCCGGTCGCGAGATGCGGCTAAAATTTTGCGAGATCTCGCAAAACTTTTGCGAGATCCCGAGTTAGTTTTGCGAGATCTCGCAAAATCCGTCTTAATTTTTTTTTCTTCCATGTCCCCAGCGGGGCTCCGTAGAAAATAGGTTTAAATGTTAAACTACTTTCTTCCAGTCAGAGAATGTTGCATATAATTTAATTTTTTGCTTTATCACCTATTCATAATTTGATTTTTAAAAGGTAACTAAGTAACTTAATACTTTTGAAAATAAGTAATCAGTAAAGTAACAGGATTACTTTTTGGGGGAAGTAATCGGTAATTAGTTACTGATGACTTTTTTCAAGTAACTTGACCAACACTGATTATTACACATAATGAGGCTGAGTGGAGGCAATCTTTATTTATGGACATCTGTGGTTTGAGTTCTCTGCATGTGTGAGTTCGATGGGTTGTTACCAGCATCTGGTGAGAATGTCATGTCAATAGTGCCTGTAGGAATATATTTAATTAGAAAATTGGTGACTTGTTCACACCTATTTTACCCGCTGAATGTTGAGGCATCTGAGAATCAGGAGATTTCAGGACTTCTGCTAAACTGGTTTAGTAGAAATGTCATATTCTGAATTGTCTTTCTTCTTTTTCCCTGTTAAGGAGGTTATCTACTTGCACACAGTCGATGCTAAGTGTATAAAGTATAACCTTACTAGCACAAGTAAGGTTATATTTTTTTCTCATCATGGTTCTTTCAAAACACATTTTCCTTTCCAAATTGTTCTTCTCCACAAAAGAAAACTGGACTGGTGAGAAAACACTCTGTGCAAGAAGACCCAAAGTTGGCTTCATCTGCTGGGCAGCCTGAGGTCTTTGGGGGTGTGCAGGGCATTACTGAGGACCTTTTATGACACATTAATAGCTTAAGCAAATTTTATATGTGGTTGTCTGCTGGAGAGGTGGCACCACGGAGACTGACACAAAATAATTTAATAGACTGGTGCAGAGAGCCAGCTCTGTCCTGGCCAGTCCACTAGTTTCCACAGAGGAGGTGGGTGAGAAGAGGATGTTAGACAAGCTACGGTACATCATGGACAACACCTCTGAACCAATGCATGAGACTATGGAGGCCCTGAGCAGCTCCTTCAGCCAAGGGAGTAGATTTGGCATGGACGGCAGGGACGTGTCCCCACCAATAATTTGATCTCTTCGAGTAAAGAAAAACAAACCCGATAGAAAGAAATAACAATCTGTCAACGTCTCAACGACTCCAGAAAGAGTTAAATTACGTTCTCTACTGGAGTCCTACGTCATGTGACAAATATGGCCAATGTGATTGGCTGAGCCTTTCAGGGAGCTCTGTTTAGTTTTAGCAGCTGCAAGCCTGCGCTGCGAGGAGGAGAGGAGGATGGCAGCAAAAAGAAGAACCTGGATATAAGAAAGTGTTTTTCAATTAAACCTGTTAGTCACTTAAAGTCAAGTTCACTCATGAAATGTGTCCGTCACAATAACGTTACAGGCTATGCCAGGCTTTGACCCACATCAGTCTAAAACCACGAATAACGTGTTTTGGAAACTAACTGCACAACAGGCAGCACTATTAGTTCTCTCAGTCTC